TTGATCATTTTTGATCATTTTTGATCGTTTTTTGATCATTTTTGATCATTTTTTGTTCATTTTTGATCGTTTTTTGATCATATTTTGATCATTTTGATCATTTTTTGATCATTTTTGATCATTTTTTGATTATTTTTTGATCATTTTGATCATTTTTGATAATTTTTTGATCATTTTTGATCATTTTTGATCATTTTTGATCATTTTTGATCAATTTTTGATCAATTTTTGATCATATTTGATCATTTTTGATCATTTTTGATCATTTTTGATCATTTTTGATCATTTTTGATCATTTTTTGATCATTTTTGCTCATTTTTTGATCATATTTGGTCATTTTTGATCATTTTTTGATCATTTTTGATCATTTTTTGATCATTTTTGATAATTTTTGATCACTTTTTGATCATTTTGATCATTTTTTGATCATTTTTGCTCATTTTTTGATCATATTTGGTCATTTTTGATCATTTTTTGATCATTTTTGATCATTTTTTGATCATTTTTGATCATTTTTTGTTCATTTTTGATCATTTTTTGATCATTTTTGATCATTTTTGATCATTTTTGATCATTTTTGATCATTTTTTGATAATTTTTTTGATTATTAATTGATCATTTTTTGATCATATCATCAGTACCGCACCTTTGATATAATTAATTGAAAATATGATGTGACAAAAAGCTTTAGAAACTACAAAATAGAGTTTAGCATCTAAAGAAAAGTTTTCAATCAAAAAAAACTACAACAAATTTTTCGTAGTGGCTTTCAATTGAAATGAATTTTTCAATAAAATAAGGAAGCAAAAGCAAAGCATTTTTGTATCTAAAAAAGTTGCCATTTTATGTGCAAATAATGGCGATGAACTTTTTATTCCAGCAAAGTTCGTGAATTGTCTTCAATGTTTTAAGATGCACAATAAAGCCACGAGAAAAAGAACTAAAACTGAGCTCAATGGAAAGTTTTTTTGTAAACTTAATTTTTTTGTGTGGAAATGAAATTTCACACTTTTTTTTGTGCTCAGCAGATGATATTGAAAAGTCAATATATTCAGCTGAAATCTTTTTATATCGATGAAATAATAAGCTTATATCATTATGTGTGAAAATTGGCGCGAAAAATGTATTCCTTATTGACTGGATGTATAGGGGTTTTCAAGTATAATTGACGGAAATGGATACAACGAGAGGATTCGTGATTGTTTTGAGAAAACTGGTTCAAAATTGTTCAAAATAAACTCAACCCTAATTAAGTTGGAGTGACTCTGAGGATAAGTTCTTCGACACATTATTGTTAAACATTGACACAATGATCATGAGTTCGAGACTCAGTGTGGTAACTTTTCCTTTCACTTTTCTACAAAATATATGAAATATGATCAAAGAAATTCTTCTTGTTCTTGGCCGTTTTCAATGGCTACCCGGGACCTCTTCCATTGTCTCAGATCAATTTTATTTAATTTTCATTAATTTTAGTACATCGAATTTCATTTCTACCCTAGCAGACTCTGGATAGCCCTAGAAAATAGCTTCTGATCCTATTACAAACTAATCCTAGCTCTAAATTCGAGCAGAATGTCTAGAATTGGCAGTTTATTTCCCTAAAATTCAACAAAAATTCTATAGTAAAATCAACTTATTTCCTTCAAATAAAATCATCAACTTACATCCAATGTTTTCAATTTTCATGAATCCCTAACTCCCAAAAAAACATCAACCAAAATGAAAGAATAAATGTTTAAGCTCCATTTCAAGCGAAACATCCAATTTTCATCATATCGAATTGGTGTGAATTTTGCTTTTTCTCATAAAATTTATTCATTTTTTTTTTTTGCTCCACTCGTATGCGAGTCTACATATATTCCATGTACAGTTCCGTCTAAAATATCCTTACCAAAAAAAAAAAGTTTAATGCTTCTACAATAAATCATTTTGGTGTGGAATAAAAAAAGGCGACGAGTCAATGATCAGAAAATGACGGATAATTTATGGCTTTTTCATGTGAGACAAGGCACATTGATGGTGCACGGAAAAAATTGTGAAGCACAAAAAATTGTATCTGAGCGAAATTGGAAAAGCTTAGAGAAAAAGTGGAGATTAAGTGTGAAGAAAATGGGCATGAAGGAAAAGAATTAGTTTTGGCTTGTGTTGGGATGTCACGAAATTTAATGAATTTTTTTTTGTGGAAGTCAATTGATGCAGGAACAGCATTTAGGTATCTTTTTTAAAACATATGTACTGCAAATGAAGCTCACAGTCTTCCTTGGTAGGCTAAAGGTTGAAATGTCATCGAAGGAGGGGTTTTGATGCCATTATGAACCGTAGGTCTAAGTTTGAGTCCAAAAGGCTAGTGAATCCTCACTCGTTGAGCTTTTATCAGCTGCAAAATGCCTTAAGACACCTCTGGATCACAATTGATATGAAAAGAGATTCAATGTGATTTTTTGATGGTTTCTTATTATGCATAAATGCTCAAAAATGTTTCTAAATTCAGCAAAATGATCAAAAATTTTAAAAAAAAATCTCTACAAAATTTTAATCTAAAACTTTTTCATTATCTTTATCAATTATAAAAATTTTCACACTCTCAAAAAATTTGTTTCTATCACAAATAGTTTCTAAATTAAGTGAACATCTACAGCGAAAATCTGCAACAAAACAGCAATTTTATGCATTTAGTTATAAACAAAAATATTTAAAATGAGAAAACAATTTCACTTCACAACAATAAAGTTTCTCTTATCCTTCAGCACATAGGAAATTAGAAAAATATTCTAAAATTTTTATTTTAATTTATTCAATTAAAATTTGAAATTTTTCATAAAAGTTTTTTTGTTCGTGTTCAATGTTTATAGTAAGAATTATTTGTGGAAGCATATGCTATGTTGAAATTCCTTAGCGTCACATGAACGGAATTCAATTATTTTTCAATTAAGAATAGTTTAAGGATGAATTCTTTGGAGAAAATTAACTTTGTGATAATTTTTTTGTATTTTTAGACAGTTTAGCCTCCCTCAAAGAATTGCAAGCGGTAGTGTTGCTCAATAGGGGTGCTAATTGCTCTTCAGCCTCTACACCTCTTCGTGGTGCATTGCCTGGCTATGCCAAACTAATCAAGTGATGCGGTCCTAACGGAGAAAGTTTGTTTGAGTGTGAGGCCAAGCGAGCCCACACTCTGTAAACAATCAATAGCTACGAAACTAAAGGAGAAGATACGCTAGAGTCTTCAATATCACGAACTGGCAGAAGGTATCGAAGGATAGAACTGTCTTTAGACAATCTCTGATTGCAGCAATGGTGTGCTCCAGTCAAGGAAGTAAGTAAATTAGCCACCCCCAGACTAAGGGAACGGTTTCTAGGTTTCCCCGGGGCACCCAAGGATAGAAACTAATTTTAATACACCACAATATAGGATATAAAGAAAATTAATCTGAGACTAGGAAAGATTGCTCCTGGTAGCTCTAGAAACCAGCCCCAGAACTCGAAAAAAACCAAAATTTGACAAATTTCTTCCCCAGGAATCCCCAAACAAGTCACAAAATTCACAACAAAATGAATTTTTAATAAAAACAAATTCACAAAAAAAGAAAAACTTTTTAAGTGCATCAGCAACAGAATAAAGAAACATGAAAGTATTTTTTTGTCCATAAATGAGAATGGCCAACAAAATGCTATAAGAATATCCAAAGACATTTTCAGTTGAATCACACATAAAAGAATCCAAAGATTTTTCTAAATGACTTTATACTTTGGCCTCAAAACTGAAAACTTTTTCTATTAAATTGTTTGGAACTGGAAAATATTTTTGGTCTTCGTATGAGGAAGGAAGTAATGATGAGAGGAGAATAATGAAGATGTATGGAAATGTTGTGGGTAGAATGATATTATTTTGAGCTTTTGAGATGATTTTGTTGTCTGTCTGCAGCAGTGTTGTTCAAATTTTTTGAGCAAAGGCACACCTGAGGGGTAAGCCATGACCAAAGTCGCACAGAGCATTACCAAAATTTTTTACGGTACACCAGTGTACCGCGGTACACAGTTTAGACAACACTGGTCTACAGACAGCTTTTAGAGGAGAATTAAGAGGATTTGGGCAACAGGTGTCAAAAACAAAAATTTCAGCATTTTGGGGGGTTCTAGGAAAAATGTTTCTATTTAAAAATACTTGAAATACCCCTCAACCCCCTATTTAAATACTTTTGCACCCTCTCCAAATTTTGGGCTACGCCGCTTGTTCAATAACTTAAAAACTTTAGCCAATTGATGACATTTCGACCCATTAAAATCATCAACAACAGACAAATTCATCAAGTTCCTGCAAAACATAATATTACATACATGAATTCACAAGAAAATGCAATAAAAATTAATTCAATTCTCATCATCAAGTCAGCTCGTAGCCACATAATTAACTCTTGGAAATTAAATTTCAATCTAATTCAAATAAGCCCTTAATTTCCACATACATACTCGCTACGTTGACTTCAATCAACATGAAAAAATAACACAGCCAAATAAACCTTGAAATATTATTCAACTCGACATCTCTGCCAGGGGATGTTTTTGGTTTTGCTGTTAGAAAATTGCATGCAATTTATGTGCAAATATTTGCATGAATTTTGTTTATGGTCAATTTAATTTTATGTGGCATGTTCATATGATGAATTTTGATGCCAAAATACAAATGCAATCAGCATTTTCAAAAGAATCTTTCTCATTTCTCCGAGCTGTATGTTGACATTCATGAAATGTCGAGAGCAATATTTTTATTTTATTTTTTTCTCGTTCATTGCTTATGGAAATTTTCATACTGATTTGATTTAATTTATATTTTTTGATAAAGTGGATGTTTTCTTTTTGCATGCAGTCGGCATGAATTTTGAAGATTTGGCATAAAATTTACATGATTTTTGAATTTTTTATTTATTTGAATTAAATTACATTTAAATTAAATATTTAATGCTAATTCTCTTATAAGCCTCCCCACATCCATAACATCTCACACAAACTGAATGCGCTTCAGCAAACTCGGAGTATTGATTGGTGATGCCTTTCTTACATATTCAGATAGAACATCAATGTCTAATGGCCCTTCCAACTTGTTGCGTCCATATTTAGGGAACATTGAGAAGCTATCGCCTCCATTTGCAAGATAATCTGAGAGAGTCACACGATAATATTTTTCATCGTTTATAGCTTCATAGCGTGGCTTGTCACATTTTTGACACAGAACTTTTAGATCAACAATTCTGTTGAACGGATTTTTCTTCAAATCATACACAACTTTAATTCCAGATACTTGCATGACATGAAGGATCGGTTTCGATACTGAGAACTCTAAAGCTTCTCTAATTGCAAATCCTGGCAGTTCCAGTAACACAACTTTATTCTCAAATGGAGTTGTTGTAAATAAATCTGCTAGTATGACTCTTCCTGGTGATAATCCAGCTCTTACTAAACCTGGTCCATGTAGTGCTATAGATACTGCTGTCCATTCACCTTCTGATCGGTTGTTTGAGAACTGTGGAAGAAATCATGGACACAACTAGATTATTTTTCTTACTGATATTAAATAATATAATGATATAGGAACCAATCTTACAGCAAATGTCATAGAATCTGCAACCAAATTTCCCATTCCACATTCACGATTATAACAAAATGAGTCATGTTGATGCTTCACATATCCAACATTTTTCTTTAATAATGCATCAACTACAGTCTTCCATGGTTTCAACTCTTCTAGAATCATTGGATCTTGTGGCACTTCATGTGATAAAAATATTGGTGCACCTTCATATCTCTTCACTTCTCCATCTTCATCGAAAAACAGTTTAATATTTCCTAGATATTTATTAAATGCTGATGCCTGAACAATCAAAACTTGATGACCATTTTCTGGTGTTTCTATTGTTGGATATTCACCAACAGGCTTGTCAGGACCAACTGGCTTACCAGAAAATAGAAATGAATGTGTATGTCCACCAACAATTAAGTCTATTGGACCTCCATGCTTTGCAATTTCTTTATCAACATCCAATCCAGAATGTGACAGGACAATGATGATTTTTATTCCTTGCTCTACTAGCTTGTCAACTTCTTTCCGGACATATTCAACTTCTGGCAGAACTTTAGCTCTTCCCCAGCCTGATGGAAAAGTTGTAGTGACTCCAACAATGCCAATTTTTCGTCCACTTCTCTCAAGAATTATTGAATTATTGAATTTTTCAGCGAATTTTGGTTCCAGAGTTGCGTTGATATTACAGCTTAGTATTGGAGTTTTTATTCGCTCGAGAAATGGCAATAGACCTATGGCATATAAAAGTACTTTAGAATGGATTTTTGAGAAGTTCTTAATATTAGGTTAAGATGCATCTGACCAGCGCGTAGCTAGTAGGGTCTTGTCCCCCTTAAACGTTTTGAACAGCAGTGAGAGCACGGTAAAAAACGCTTAAGAGGGGGACAATACCCTCGTTGCTACGCGCCTGCATCTTACCTTCGCAGTCATGACACAATCACAACATTTAAACTTACCTTCTATTCCATGATCAAATTCGTGGTTTCCTAGAGTCTAGGAAATTAGAATGGAAATTTTTAATTAATGCTGAATTCTATATGATTGCTTATTGTTCTTATCTTTGATTGCTCTATTGTATTTTTGTTGATTTTAGAGAGTTGTTGGGAATTTCATAACAACAATAATAACATTGAATCATATGGAAAACCCCATAAAGTAAAAAACTTACCATAGCATCAGCTGGCTCTAAATTTAAAAAGTATTGAGTCACATTCCACCTAAATAAATTGTACCAATAAGTTCCTTGGAAGTTGTCAGCTGCATTTAGAAATATTGGATTAGGGCTATTTGCCCTAAGTTCCTTAACTTTAGTCACAACTCTAGCAAAGCCTCCGATACAATTGTCATTTTCCTTGCAGGTATTTGCCAACGTGTTTGTTTCTTCAAATCGTGCATGCATATCATTCATGTGTATTATTGTTAAAGGAAATAAATCCTCAGACGAAGATACGCACTTAGTTAAAATAAGCCACGTGAATATTCCCAACGATTTCATCACTGCGACGTTCAAATTGAAACTGAGAGGAAATCTTTTATTTTTATTTAATTAGCATTAATTTAGAAACAAATACCTTCATGCTGATCTTATCTTCATTCACTAATACATGGTTACGATTCTTGTAAAGTAAAAGACAACAACTTTATGTACGATGACTAATGAGACAAGATCTCAGAAAAAAAAAAGAGTTGCGAGTATTTTAATGTCAATTTCTCTCTCTTTAAAACAGGAAATTTTTTAACACTCATTTATGTAGTTCAAGACTTAATGTATGCGATAGCTTGTCGTGAATTAAGTTTTTTAAAGGTCTCCATAGCAATAGTAAAGGGGCCAATCACTTATGACGTCCAGTGGGGGAGGGTGTAAGCAAGAAAAAAACAATTGAAAGTTCCAGGAAATGGAATTGACAATGGATATGACCGTTACTTTTGGGCGTCATAATTGAACGAACCCAAAGGTATTTCCCGAGATTCTCAATGCAAATATTGATCACAGAGACTGAGAGCAGGCACGTAGCCAGGAGGGTATTGTCCCCCTTTTAAGCGTTTTATGCCGTGCTCTTGCTGCAGTTCAAAACGTTTAATGGTAGAATAAGACCCTCCTGGCTACACGCCTGACTGCGAATCTAAGTCTCGATTAAATAATTATCAACATTTTTGATTTATTAGTCTTGACAAAGTGCAAAGATCACGGAAATATTTTTTTTTGAGAGTTTATTAAGTTTCATCGCACTAATAAGAATTAGCCACATAAGCTACGTAACTAATGAGTATGTATGCATGCTTGCTTTATTTTATTAATGCTTGTAGAAATTCGTAACATTTTATTTCTAAAGGCTGGTCAGTTCGAAATAAATTTTTGCTCAAATATTTCATTTTAACTCTCTTTCTTGAATATCATTAGCGATTAGCAAGCAAAAACAATGAAGTCAGCATCGGAAATCAACACATTTAACGAGTCATTCTGAAACAAGTTTAGGATTAAAACATTGAGATAAAGCGAACATTCTAAAATTAACCACTAAATTAGGATATTCCCAACTTAGTTTAAAAGAAAACATTCTTTGAACAAGCTACAAAATATCCCAATTTCTATGAATTATGATTAGCAGACACATAGCTAGAGGGGGGGATTGGGGGACAAATCCCCCAACGTAAACAGAAATTTCTTTATTTTGCTAGGGTTTTTATGAAAAAATCACAAAATACCCCCCCCCCCCCCTAAAATTTTTCCATACAAAAAAAATTTTTGCCTCCCCCCCCCCTCTTCAAATTCCTGGCTACGCCCCTGATGATTAGGATGTACATCGGTTTTTGCCGATTTTTGGTCAAAATGTACATAGGACATATTCCGATTTTAGCTCTGTCTCAAAAGTGAGCAATTGGACAGCCCAATTATGATAAAAACGTGAAACGTAAAATTGTTTTGTAATAAAATTTTATAGCCAAAATTATGTTCTACTCAGCCACTTAGGGTTTTTTGCAAGTTTTTTGGAGTAATTTCGCAAAAACAGAAATTTAAAATTTTAAATCAACAAGCAGCTTGTCCAATTCAATTATTATTTCTTTTTAAATCAAAAACATCAAATGCACTCACTCTAAAAGTAAGCTTTTACATGCTCAAACAACAGCCTTTTTTCAATTCAAACCTTTCAGCAATCAAGTACTTGAAAATATGTGCTACAGCGTAGTCATAAAGCGTTTATATAAATGTATTTGTCGATGCATAAATTGCCATTAAATTTTGTATGCAAACAGTTTAAGCGTTTTCGGGGTGGAACGGCATACACATACAGCACGAAGAGAGCCAAAAAAAACTTCAAATATTTATCGAATCGGATCTGAATGGTATTTACGATAATCATAATCAAATTTCGATTGAAAATTTCATTTATGTACAAAATTGACGTCTTGTGTAAATATTTAGAATAGAAAATGTCGAAATGCTGCTCGAGAAGGTTCAAGTCATTCATGCGATTATCTACATTTACTTTACTAAAATGTATGTCCTCAGGTATGTCAAATTTTTGGAGAGGAGCAACATTTAAAGTGTTTTAATAAAATGACTCTCATTTTGTAATTTTGTTGATGAACGTAAATAAATTTATGGGTAATTAAAACGATATAAAATTAGACGACCCAAATTAATGAGAAGGTGGCAGGTGATGATGGAAATTTCATTAAGAGGAATTTTCATATTTTTGCTAAAATTAATTGAGATGGAATTTTGGGGCGAGAAATTCTTTCAACCTTTTATTTTAAACGATTTTCTTGGGAGAATTCTGTTGTTCAAACTTAGCGTTAAGTAATTTTTAAGGCTTCCTGGTATTTCTATTCTTAGTCTGCAATTGTGTTAATTTTAAAATGATGTTATTGAGCTGCTTACAAGCTAATCTATCAATCTATAACAAAAGTATGTGTGTGTAGAGAGTAGCTCATGGTTCAAAAGATTCTACAATTGATCAGGATGACGAGTGACTCCAGCTTGGCGCACAATGTAAAAGCACAAAGCTTGTCTGCAACTCCTCACATTAAAATATGAGAGTAGCAAGACTCTAGTTTTAAATATGAATCTTCTTACAGCTTCTTACAAGTTCCATTCCCGAATGGCTCAAGTTTGTTCATTAAATAGAAATGCGGCACCAAGCTGAGGTAGCTCTGGCATGGTGCTAAATTAGACTTGAGTCCAACACCATGCAAGAGCTATATTAGCTTGTTTTTAGATTTCTATTCTAACTTGTTCTATTCGTGATTGTTTCATATCCAATTGAAATTCATATTACATCTTTAATTTTATTTTATTTGACTTAAAACTAGGGTGACCATCTAATTTTTATGAAAATACAGGACATTTGATAAATTTCCCAAAAAATACAGGACACAAACGAAAATTTGAAAATTAACGGAAATTTTTGTGAAAAAAATACAGGACCTGGAACAAAATTTTCAAATTTATACAGGACAGGGTTTTGAATACAGGACTGTCCGTAGTAAAACTACGCAGATGGTCACCCTACTTAAAACTCTTCGAAAAAAATATAAAACAAAAATTTTGTCTGCAACATTTTATGATTAAAATGAATTTTTTCAGAACTCAGCATTTATTTTTAATAAGTTGCTTGCTTAACAACAATCATGTTTCATAAAAAAATGTAAGTACTGCAAGCATTCTAAGGTCAATGAATGATGTAGAAGTTATATGACAAATTTTGATTAAATTATGTTCTTTTAAATTGTTAAATATTCTCATTTTAAGGACAATAATAGTAAAATCTTTTTACTATGCTTTACTGCTCAATTACATAATCTTCGACTCGTCTAAAGTGCTTGTATAATTTTCGTGGTTCACCTTTAAATTTGCCTCACTTTTCTTCTTCACTTTTGATGTATTTGAAATACACCTGAATATTGTAAATGACAGAAAACCAGCAACAGAACCGACTAGAAACCAAAGCAATGCTGATCTGTAATTGAAATTCTCGCTTGATGTTGCCGTCTTTTGGTGTTTCCATGACAAGTCATCATCCTTAAAAAATAATTTCAATTTAAATAAATGTCAATGAAAAAGATTTTTGAGGTTCTTCATAAATATTGGGTAACTTTTGAGGTGGAAGTGGGTTTAAATACATTTAATGATAGATTGGAGAGAGAGAAGATCTCAAATATTGGTGGACGTCATGTATGAATGACCCCATTGTGAGGTCTCCCACCTCCTCAGCTCAAATGTCAACCATAAATCCTCAAAAAGAATCAAAACATCACGAAAATTTCATAATTTTTTCCTCTTACCTCAGAAGTCTCAATATCATCATCATTTCCATTTCCAGTAACACCTTCAAGTACTATAAGTCGTCTAACAATATGTGTGTAACGATCATGACATTCAATACCTGTCGTATCGAACAAATCATGTCGCGATTTCACCACATAATCCAAGCCATAATGAACGTTCTTTGAGGTGAAAATCTCTTCGGCAAGCCAATCACATATGAATGGATTTTCTGTGGAATAAATTGGAAAATAGGAAATTGGGCTGGATTGAGAATTATTTAGCAGAAGTTATGGTCTACGCAATTTCTATTAGAAATGTGTCAATATTTGTATGCATGTAAGAGATTCTCCCATAAGAAATTGCGGTGTGGATTGAGTATTATGTTTTAGAGTTGGTCGGAAGTGCTGGTTGATAGTAAGGAGAGTAAGGCGCAAAATAGATCAATATAGTGCCAGATACATAAGGTTTCTTACTGAATCTAGTAACTTAAATAAACCACTAGATTAAAGGCTGGTTTTTGGCTTTAGCTTAAGGTAAAGTATTGTAGAAAAAGCTAGTTCCTTGAAAGCTACTATAGTTAATATCCCAAATGCAGAATCCAAGACAAAATGTTCAACATATTCAACTCATCCCACTCCATTCTCCCATTAATCCACAACCAATTCAAGCTCAGTGATCCAACTCACCATAGAAATCTGTCACAATAATATTCTCAAGTATAGACGAATTGATGCTTGTATAGGCATTGTATGTTAAATTCAAATAAGCAATCTCGACAGTTTCCGACCACAAAAAGTTATCAGACGATAAATTATTACACGATAAATCCAAATGTTGCAATTTCAATTCACTGAACACAGCATCATCTATCGATTGCAATAAATTGTCATTCAGTTTTATAGTCTTGAGCATTTGTGTTGTGCTGAAGATTTTATCTGATCTTATGTGAGTTATTTGATTGTTGCTTAGGTCAAGATACTTGAGATTTGCTAAATCGGTGAATATTGCATTGTCAATGTTTTCTATCACATTATTGCTGGCATTCAGGATCTGTAAAAAGGAATTTGACAGAAAATCATTTTTCGGGGCTCAGAATGAATATAAATCCGGATTAAAAGAAGCAGAATGGAGTAAGCCTACAGTAACCTTGACTCCTGTAAACCAAATGCATAACTTCCAATCAGAGACAAATCATTTCTCTAATGAAAACCGACAAGGTGCTTCAAAGCTATTTCCAGATCAGCAACTCTTCCTAGATAAAATTAATCTCCTAGACAACTTGAACGCTTCAATACTTCATTATAAGCACTTGAGTACCAGGAATTATGCAAGCACAGACATATTGATTTATAAATTCCTATGCAGAATAGGAAGAGAAGCAACAAAGTACAAAGTTGCATCATTAAGGCATTCAAATGATTTCCATCTGATTTCGCAGAAGTGATAATGACTGTGGAGTGGTAGTCAAGTCTGGAGTGTTCTTTGAAGCTTAATGTCATGCTAAAGGCAATCAATGGCTGAACATTATTGATTTAAATTTGAATTAATGTCTTACAGCAAAACAATTACACATGAATTTACAATTTACATTTAAATGCCTTAAAATTCCAATAAAATCGATTCAATTTTACACAGAATAACTTGATACTAATGCCAAGACCAAAGCTATTATTTACATAAACAAGAGAAAAATACAATCAATTCACCTCAAGCACTTCCAGTCCTTTAAACGATAACGTTGAGAAAGCCTCAAATTTATTGTAACTCAAATCTAACGATATCAGTTCCTCATTCTTCTCAAATGTCTCATCCTTTATCTCATCCAATAGATTGTGTGACAAATTTAAATGATGCAATCTTGGCATATTTGAAATTAATTCTTGTTCGAATGATGTCAGCTTGTTATCCTATACATTGTACATGAGTACAAGCAGTTTATGTGGGAAAAGATAAAGAGAATGAACATTAATAATTATTGTCTGAATTAGATATTGATATTCTTTGGCTATAGTAGTTTAATTAAATGAGAATTGTGTGATGTTATTGATTAAGGAAACACATTTGTTGTTAAAAATTTATGAAGAACATATTTTGTTCAATTTGTGAGGTTATGAAATTTTAAGATGATGATTTACATTTAGGGTCGTTCACTTATGACGTCCGATATTAACGGGCATTCTAAAAAATTACAGAAGTCCTCGTGTTATTGATCGAGGGACTTAAACGCATTTTTGTGTTAGCGATCAGTATTTGATTATGTAATTATTAATTTGTCGCAATGAATTTCCATACAGAAAAGGTTTATCATTTAACGGTTTTTTGAAATTCAAATTTTACATCGGCTGGAAAAAAATTGAAATTATAGAGGTAATGTTGAAATTATAGAGGTAAAATAAAATTTGGGCAGGTTACACTGAAAACATAACAAAAATTCATTAATTATAGCATAAATACACTGTTTCAAGACTTTTAAGCATTCGAAGGGCCGATAAATCGATAGTAACGGAGATAATAAAACAAACGCGAACTCTCTACGATGTCTGGTTAAAAAGTTTTTCTTCGCCCGAGCAGCCGAACAGCTGAACAAAGTGTATTATTAAGCTCCCTTTTAGAAACAAGTTTCAAAAATGCGCTGAAAAAGAACAACTGATATCCAAGAATTTCTATTGTTCTTTTTTTGCTGACCTCCCACCCCTGGACATCATAAGTGAACGGCCCCTTAGTTAAATCTGATGAGATCTCGATTACGTAAAGATTTGTTAAAGAAAGTTTGTCTCGATATCCAGAGGTTGGTTATAAGCAACTGAAACAATTAGCCAGGCGAAGATTCAATAAAATTTAATACAACCATTAATAGGGTTGTTGCTAAGAATTTTTCGATAGGTTAGAATAATATTTTTTGTATGCATCCACTCCATTATCTACCTCTGGCTACACCACTGCACCCATACGTTGAAGCATTAAAAATATACCAGAATAGCACAAGTCAAATAATATAGAGGAAATCCTACGCTAGGCCAGAAGTCACCGTTGCGTACGATTTTGGCTCAATTATCTAACTTGTGCTATTCGTTGTATTTCTCCTTGACTTGCACATAAACAAAATCCTAATCCAAAAGTAATCAAAACAATAGATTACATCTAGTTCACCATAAACAAACCAACAAAGTAATTTGACAGCAAAATAGTTACAAAACTTTCAATACTCTGCTAAAAACAGCTTACACATGTAAATCAACCACAATACATGAACCAGAAAACAAAAAAGAAACTTTTTCAATCAAGAGAACATATTCTCAACATTACCTGCAAATGCAGCACTTTCATGTGTGTAAGTCCAACGAACGACTCATCTTCAATAAATTCAATTTCATTATGCTTCAATTCAAGATGAATAAGCTTATGAAGATGCTTAAATGTATGCGAATCAATTGATTTTAAATTATTTTTACCAAGATTTAAGTGCTTAAGCAATGGAATCGATCGAAAGAGCTCATCGGGCAATGAACTGATATGATTTGCAACTAAATTGAGTTTCAAAAGCTTCGTATAACGAGTAAATGCAAATTTATGAACTTCCGTTATGGCATTACGACGTAAATCGAGTGTATGAAGTGATTCGAGATTCTCGTGCGTCCACGTCCTCACAAATGTGATATTATTACGGCCGAGATTTAAAATCCGTAATTCATTTAAACCATTAAATGCAAAATCGCCAATGTTCTTCAAATGACTCTCGGTAATTTCCAAAATCCTCAATTTATGGAAGCGTATAAACAATGCATTTGGCAAATCAGCGGACAAGTGACAATTGTGGATTACAATTTCATGCGGATTCGAGTTTAACAATGAAATATTTTGCAAGTCGTCAAAATTACAATCGGTTAAGCTAACACTGTCATTGACATTTATCAAATATTTTGCCTCGGTTGCAATTGCTGACAATAATTGAATAAGCAGAATTGATGAAATGGTCGAATTGCGATGCATGATTGTAAATTAATTTTTATAGAAGTTCGTAGAAATTTCTGAGAGGCTATGTTTTATTTTTTAATAGCTGCAGGTCTTGTTGTGATCACTTCTTATCTTTATAATCGTCATTCGTTACTTGACTATCAAATAACGTGATTAAACATGTGTGTCTGTTATTTGCTTGACTTCGTTATTTTTATCTTGGAGATCTGTTGATTAAAAAAGTATTTGCATAAGATTTTGTGGGATATTTTTAAGAGCTTGAGTTTAAGAATCGAGAAATTTTGAACAAAATTCTTAACTTAGTATTTAAATTAATCCCGAACAGCACAAGTCGGTTAATTTATCAGAAATCTAGCACTAAGCTGGTGTGACTCTGGAATAGTGCTGGCTTCGATTTAAATCCAGAACCTTGTCAGAGGCTTGTTGCCGGATTTCTGATCGATTAACCATACATACATACATACATACAACCGACTTGTGCTGCTCGGTATTTATTTGGAAATGTTAAGAAAGGGAATTAAATCCCGAGCTCAATTTTTGTCCCGATTCCTTCAGAAAGGGGGGTTGAGAATTGAATCAGAAAAATCTGAAACCTTATTGTCGTACAGTCCTCGACCATCTGTGCTGTCCTTTACCAATAAACGAACAACTCAAAACAAACTCCTTAAATAAAATAATCACAATTTTTCCACAATTAAACTTAATATTCACAACAATAAGCAGAACAACTTTTCCACTTTTCAAATTCCTATCTTCGTGCGGTTGTGAATAAATTAGCAGAATTAAATTTTTCCTTTGTTCCTCAATCTCACCTCAATTAAGACTATTGTTCACAATAATTTTTTTTTGCTCTTCTCTTCATTTCCACTGTGTCATTTTAATTTACTTTAGACTACAGCTTACAAACTCAACTTGTTGAGGGGATTTAAAAGCGAGAGAAGGCGAGACGGAGAGATTTGTAAGTAAACAACAAATACACACGCATATGTTATTATATTTCCCACAATTGTAACATTATAATCTCACAATTGTCTAATCTACTTTGTAATTGCCATTTTAAACAGAATAAATATTTGCCATCTGCTCCGATTATTTTCTTTGCCGTACGGCTTTCAATTAAATGAATGCTTCTTGTGGTATTACATAGTTTTCTGTATTCTCTGCTTCTTATTTTACTAGATGCACCATTTGAGGCAAAAAGTTACTGAACGCACTTTTTGATGCAAAATGTTACTGAACGCAATACTGAAGCAAAAAGTTACTGAACGCATTTTTGAAGCAAAAAAAACTGAACGCACATTTGAAGCAAAATGCCACAGAACGCAATACTGAAGCAAAAAATTACTGAACGCACTTTTGAAGCAAAAGTTTACTAAACGCACATTTGAAGCAAAAAGTTGCTGAACGCACTTTTGAAGCAAAAAGTTGCTGAACGCACTTTTGAAGCAAAAATTACTAAACGCACATTTGAAGGAAAAAGTTGCTTAACGCACTTTTTTGATTGAAAGTTTCTAAACATTCTTGTGAGGCAAAAAATTACTAGACGCACTCAAGAAACAAAACATTCTTAAACAAACGTTATATAAAGAAAATCTTAAACTTTTCCGTTGCCTTAAATATCGAGCATTCAGTTCTAGTACACAAGAAAATTAAGTTTATTGCTGACTTAGTCATCATTCATTCAGTTCATAATTGTGTGTGACATTCCCAGGCATACACATAGAGATATAAACGGAGAAAATTGAATGACATCAAATGACAAAGTTTCCATTCAAACCATATCCAGTCACTACAGTACGGTAAATACATAAATGGAGCAAAAAAAATTTTTTGTTGGAAAAACTTATGAAAATTCAACTAGGAACTGCTGTTTTTGTTTATTTAAAATTTAAATTTAGTTTAACTTCACTTCTGTGTCTCATTTCCTTCCGTGTGCTTATATATGTGGCTGCATCCACAAGATGGATAAAGTTTTTTAATAATTAAATTGGATGCTTCAATATTTGTGGGATTTGAGTTATTTTATTTTAGTAGTGAGGATTTTAACTTTATCATTTGGTTTGCTTGGTTTTGGATGAAATGAAAAATGAAGCCATGAAAGGTTTTGAAAATGCTTATTTAATTCTGTTATAATTAAAGCCAGCAAGAGTTTTGGAAATTATAAGATATCCTCTTTGAAATCTTCATTAATTCCCATACATAGACTACGATATGAATAAAATACTAAGAATCAGTGCATGAAACAGGAAGAGACAGATAAGAATATTTTATGAAGATTATTTTAATAAAAGCAGATGTTTTGCATTCATCCAGAAAGCTGTATGCTTAATATTCTCTTCACAGACACAAAAATAACATATTCTTTTCATCATCAGCATTGACCCATTTCTGGTAATTGAAGGATTTCACCTTTTTTAATACATACATTTCAATCTAGGAGTGAATCACAAGTGTGAGTCACATACTTGAAGAGATTTATTTAAGTACAACACATGTCTGATTGAATATTGATGAAGTGTTGAAGATTTTAAGCATGAATATTTTCATTATTCAAATCATGTGATTTTAATTTTAAATTACTCTGAATTTTATGTATTGAGGTGGAAGGAAAGATGGAGTTCTGAACAAAATTTCAATTTAAGTGAATGTTTTTAAAGATAAAATGAGTATTTAATTTGAAAAAAATTAAAGAAAATTCAAACGTTTTTAACTTTGAAAAATGATTTTAAATTGGGGGGTTTATGAGAATATTATGCAGGGGCCAAGGGGGGGGGGGGGGGTCTTGAGATTTTTCAAAAACTTTCTTTTAAATTTTAATTCTCAGTTAATCAAAAAAATCTAGTAAGTTTAAAGAAAGAACAATAAAGAACCCCCCCCCCCCCCCTATTCAAAAATCTTGGCTACGACCCTGATTTCCTGATTTTAAACCCTGACAACTAAGAATGTTCGTTCATGTGGCTATGCTTTTGGTGGAAGCAATACATATACCACAAAAAAAAAGTCAGTTTAAAAAGCTTCGGTCAAAGTCCAGCACCATGTCAGAGTATCACCGGTTTGATGCAAGATTTCTGATCGATTAACCAACTTGTACCAATCGGGTATATAAGTTTTCAGATCTACTTCAGCCTTTGATACAAAATTTGTATTAAAGAAAATTTTCAGAGCTCGAAATCGAGGCGATTTGATTCGAGACAATTCGAAAAAAATGAAGTCGACTTGAGAAAAGTTGAGTTGAGTCAACTCAAGTCTACTGTAACCCTATCGCCTTCAAGTCCGGAAATTTTTCTTTGTTTGAAATGTTACAAAACTCTAGACGACCCCTCCCCCACCTTCCTATTTAATATCCATTATAAAGATTTGGCATCTGTGATAGAAAGATTAGGCAACAGCTCAGGAATCTCTTTTAGGATGACGTGAGTTTAAATCCACCAAGAAACCAATCTCTAAATGATCATAAATGAACATCAACATTTATTTAAATAATTTCTCGTAATTCATGGTACAAAAATCCATTGCATACTCAACTCATCTCATTCATGAATCCATCCATTCAATTAAATCCACTAACTCAATTTCATCTTCTTTTCATAATAAACTTTATTTTTTTTTACATTCTTTATTGATATATCATAACTAAAAACTCAAATACCAGGAAGAAATTTTTGAAAAGAGGATGTGAAGTTCATGAATGAATATTAAAAAGGATCTCTAATAGCCGTACATGCTGAACATTTATTTCCATTCAAGAAAACATTTTTTTCTTCTCTTCCTTTTATCAATAAAGACGGAATCAAAAGGATATTTTAAGGATATTAAGATATGTGTGTGTGTTATTTAGACGTAAAGAAATTGCTGATGCATAAACTTTTTTGTATTCATCGACATTCGTATGAAAAAGGAGAACGAAAAGGTCCAGAAAATGTAAATATCTCTTTTTGAGTATGTTTGAATTTGGGAAGTGAAAAGGGGATCCGGTTAATAGCTTTTTAAGTGATGTTAGTTTTGACTGAGAATTTTTTAAACAAATTTTTAAGGTAGATTGAGAATGAGTTGAGACCCCATTGGACCCCTCTTCCCTTTGGCTCCTCCTTAGTCACTAGGCTTGGTTTTAAGACGAGCCCTGAAAAGCAACCTTGAATATATATTTTAGCACCAGTCAGGGGCCGTTCACTAATGACGTCCGAGGGGGGGGGGGGGGGGTCAGCTAGAGCAATAGAACTTTTTGGAATTCCTTCCGACATCGTTCCTTTTCGTTCTTTTTTGAAAAATGACCGTTAATTTCGGACGTCATAAGTGAACGACCTCTTAGAGTTTAATGGCTATTCCTGAAATATTCTACAAAAGAGCCTGAAAAGAGCTTCCAAATTCCGGAAGTAAATTTAAAATCCACAACACAAATTATTATTGTACCAACTGATTCCAATCGAACTAAAAACAAGAAGCGGATATAATTCCCTGTCATCCGAATGAGTTGAATTAAATTACGAGTAATCGACATTTATTGTACTCCCTCCGGGCACTGCTGATATGATGAAAAAATGATATTGAAATATCGTAAGTTCCAGCAATACTCGAAGCAACAACATTGACAGTCACAAACAGGAATATCCACAAGGAGATTGAGAACGAGCAAAAGAAGATGAAGCGAAAATCTCTTGTGGAAAAATATTTCTCGTAATGGATATCCCCATAATGCCTCAACCCTCTTTCATGTATATATTCCATTCCATTCAATTCCATTCATTTGTGAATTCAATATCAGCAATATCATCATTATTCATATATATATGATGGAACATGAATGAGCAGAACATCCGCACATTTCTAATTTCCTTTTCATATTTTTCCCTTCACCGCTTTCTTCTGTGTCTTTATATCTGTGTGTCTCACTCTCTGTGCTTCAAGAATAATCACATTGGTCTCATCTGGCGCACTTCCTCTATTCAATGTTCAATATGATTTATTTATGCTCTCTCACATTTCATTTTTCATGACTCTTTCCTTCTTTTTCTATA